CTCATTAGGAGCCAACCCTGGAAATGAGCACTTGACATGTAACACCCACTTAATCTCATGTCGATCTGCTGAGGCAGGTCCCCACAGCTTGTCCAGTTTACAGATGAAGAGCTCGAGGCTGAGGCTGGGGAAGTTACTTGTTGAAGGACACTCAAGAACCGGTCTGTCGGACTCCGGACTCCCACCCACCATGCTTGTCTGTCACCCAAAGTGGTGTGTGTAGACAATGGTCCAGACAGCCAAGAGTCTGATGGACATTCCACTACAAAGAGGACAGTTGTAGGTTAGAAATAGAAAGGTGTTTAAATGCTGGAATTTGGCAATTCTATACAAGGTCTAAAACATAAATCCTCACCCCAAAGTCAGGGACGTAGGTAACAGGCTGATACTGTCCTTTCATTGAACTTAATGGAAATGAAGCTTTTGCTACATTTATCATATAAATTAACTCATGACAGAAAACCCATAACCATTACACAGGCCACACATTCTGATATATCTGAAGAGAAATCTACATGTGAAAGGTTATTTGAAAGCTCCTACAACTGTCTTGCTGGGGAGGTTACAGTACATCCCACATGTTTTCTGTCAGTTGTCAGACCTACCTCCTGGAATAAGCAAATCGGAAGCATGAAAGGAAAACAAACCCAAGGAAGTGAATATAAATTTAAAAAAATATACATATACACATATATAGTTAACGAAAATGCAGGAAATGAAATCTGCCGTTCCTCTGTTTTGATTCTTGAAGAATAGCGTTTTGTATGCAAGCGTTTTTATTTATTTTGCAATTTTGCTCAGAAGTGAACTTTATGCCTAAGAAACAGCAAAGCGAAGCTGACTGTGGAGGCTTCCAATTTCATATGCTCTGATTTTTAGAAAATTGCTTTGGGGAACTAAACCAATGACCTAGGAAATCATAACTCAGTCAAGCTCGTTCAGCCTTCCCACGGCAAAGAAAGGGGGGGCAGCTTGGGAAGGCCCACTGTCGGTACGGCAGGGCATACATTAAAGAACAATCTTTAATCCAACAACTGTTAGAAATAGCGTTCAGACTTATTCCACAAGTCCAAGTCTCAGCTATGGGTTTGAGGTAAAATACCATAGAACTTACAGATGGCTAAATTGGGAGGGGCCTGGTGCCCGTGGCTGCCTCTGTCACAGAGCTCAGCTGTGGCCACTGTTCACTTAAAAAGTACTGACACAACGGCACTCATTTTTCATCCATCTCTGACTCACACAATCTCGGTAGAGTGAAGACAACGTCTTTGTTAGTATTTTGCAAGGTTCCATGCTGAGGTTGCACGAGCGACCTACAGAACCTTCATAAGGTTGGAGGTCACAAAGGGCGGACAGATCAAAACTGCTGACTCAGTCGGCCCAGTGCTGTCATCTCTAAAAGAAACTGTAAGCCACGCACAGGAAGTGTCTACAGAAAAGTCACTGACACAAACAGGGACGAAGGCTGAGAACACAGGAGTACTCCCCTCCATGAACTGGAGTGTTTACCGAGCTTCCCTTGAAAATGGGCACTTAAGAACAGATAGTTATTTCATAAACTTTTTGAAATTTTAAAGACAAACATAACTGTAGGTTATATAAATGCTTACTATGCTTTTAAGGCGATTAAGAATGTGAATGTCATAAAGAACGGGGGAGGGGTGCTTTTTCAGACCAAATGGCACTAACATCCCTATTTCTGGATCATTTAAGATTAGGAGTTTGATGATGCAAATCAGGCCTAAGGCTAATTACTGAAATAGGTCACTTGAAAAAGTCAATTCTAAATATTAAGAAAACCCACATACATCATTTTGCCACATGTCAAAGCAAATAATCATCTATGAGAAGAGCTAATGAGGAAGCGCATCATTTTGTCATGTCATTGCCTAAGGGAATTTAGTGGATACTTGGTAGGTTTAAAAATATACTTGCAATTAAAAATTAATATTTACTTCCAAAACTCCAAAGCCTGATGACTATATTCTAAAAATCTGGTAACACTGTAAATCAAATTAAAGGTCTTTGAATTCACAGCAGATTCCATCCATTTTGACTGGAGAAGAGACACACTAACAAGAGATCCTACACGGGATATATATATATATATATCCAACCATAGAATGGTTTGGAACTACAGGCCTCCATCACTGGCCATAAGAAAAACGACAAAAGAACTTTCTAGAAAAGAAATAAAAATTCAAGAGATAAGGTGACTTTCTCCTTAAGTGCAGGCAAGGGACTCGACCCCAGGTCCCTAGGCTGCTGGCCCATTGCTCCTGGGATCAGTTTCCCTGGGGTGTTATCCAGCACTCGGGCTGACTATTGGCAAACTGGACTGTTCCCCTTGGGGGCTAGCGTGACCCCACACCGTCACTTCTCTGGTTCCTGCCCGCGACAAAGAGCCAGCTCACAGGGCTGATGATGTTAATACGCATACTTTTAGTGATGAAGGTGCTTAGACAACGAAGATTTGGAGTTGGGATACCAGGTGTATAGCCGCATCTCCCAACCCCACATTATTAACGGTCTCCAAGTGAACTGAGGGCCTGAGGTGTTCGAGATACATTTGTGAGTCTGAGTGCTCTCCATTATGCCATCTTGAATAGTCCTCTTTTAAGTCGAGTGTGACTCCGGGGTGTATGGTGAGTGATTGTGCGATGTGGAAATCAGAGACTTCTAAAAATCTTGGAATTCTCGCAGAAGCAATGCAAAGTCAGCATTAAGTTTTTAAGCAATTGTAAAACGTGTTCTGCTCGTCTGTCATCTCCTTTCCAGGGAAAGTTGTCTATCAGTGAGTGAGCTCTGCTGGCCGGGGCCGGGCATGAGAAGTGAGCTTCCGGCTTCTCCCCGGTACCTGCAGTGTCTTCCTATGTCTGTGGCGTGGTGGGATCGCTCAAGGGTCTGGGAAGTGTCTCCCCTGGTTGTTGGCCAGTCTTCAGCCCCGGACACTCACCTGGCTGGCAGCCTTCCAACAGCCTCTCACTGTTTCACACTCTATTTTAAGAAAGATTCTCTTATCCCAGGCTACCATGAGGTTTTACCTGGTAAATCGTCCCTCTGAGGCAAGTTCTGGTGGCCAGGGGAGCTCGGCTACGTGCCACTTAAACTCATGATGAGTTTTTACAGAAAGATAAGGAAGAGATGCCGCTACTGTATAGATTAATATTGGAACTGTAAATTAAGTCGTACCTCTAAAAACACACCTGTCACATAACGATGCCTCGTAGTTACGCAGTGCTCGCTCTGTCGCACACAAAGGTGATGCACCCCACCTCAGAAGCGTCCCAACACCCCGCCTGCACTCGGGGGGATGCACATTGTAGGAAGCCATCTTCACGAAGCCATAAATGAAAATAAGAGGACGGAATCTGCGTCTGGGGCTTATCTGCAGGGAAGAGCTGGCTCGCGCACCTGGGCGGGACACACGGTTCTTGGGATAGATGCTGGGAACTGCAGGCCTCGGGGGGGTTCTAGAGCACCACCTGCCCCAAGGCACTATGTGAGCTCTCTCCCCCCTGCCCAGGGGGCACAGCCCTCCTTGGGGATTCATCAGGTCCCTGCACTACACATCAGTGTCCTTGGCAGACAAAAGGTCTTAAAAGGTCTTTAAAATAAATAAATAAGCAAGCCACTAGGCTTCCGGTATCTTCATGGGTTTTACCCAATAACTATCTTCAATTTTCAAAGATTTCTCTACAATTTTGTACACTTTACCATCCCGCCTCCTTGTTTCATCCCTCAGAATGCTTTTATTTTCATTTTATGATAATTATTCCTTTAAATCTATAATTTCCCACTTTCCCTTTCTCTGTGGCACTGACTCTCGCTAAGCCACTCTCTCAGTGTCAAGTTGGCTCCCATCAGGTTTTCAGGTCCTGGTATTTCAGGTTTGCCACAAGGATGAGATAATTAGACAGCTATGACCATCTTTGTCTTAATAACTCATGTAGTAAAAAACAGGGTATTATTGAGTACTAAGTAAGTATCCAGTGAATTCCTGACTTTGCATTCTCAAGAGCGGCCAGAAGGCTGAGAAAGCCATTTCCACCGGATCACCAAGAGATGGGATGGGATCCCAGAACAGAGCTCTGCACCCCTGATGAACCGAAGCCGGGATTCATCACATGCGCACTCCCGCCCGGTTATGGGCATAGTTTTACACCAAAGAAAAAGAAAACCTATTTCATGGCTTGAGTGATAATAATCACGCAGATGGCACTCTGACAAAACCCTGGGCCTGGAACAACCCTCTCTCTGTGCCCACACATCGCGTGCTCCTAGCAGGCATGTGCTTGGATGCCTGTACCCTTTGCCCTCAGTGTCATGAAGGGAGCAACAGCTCAGATATGACCCGAAGGATATCTAGTACCTGTTTCCTGCAACAATGTGTCATATTATTACGCAGATGGAAGGAAAAGGTAATTCACTGAACAAACCCAAGTCTTATACTTCTAAATCTGGTTTTAACATGTCAGTGTGTAATTCTGTTTTGCCTCTAACCCCCTATCCTTTGAATCTATGGGCTCCACAAGGAAAGGGCACCATTACACCACCTTGCTCACTGTTCAGTCCCTAGCACTTACACACAGCTTCTGTCATACAGTAAATACTAAATTACTAAATGCGTGAGTGAACAGATGGACAGATGGACGGATGGATGGGTGAAGAGAAAAGTCATCGCATAAGATTTACCTATGAGATCTCACCAGTGGTCCTTAAAAATGTTTTGTCAGTAGAGATGCTGAGTATATTCATAAATATCCATTTATTTCAATACTATAAAACCTCTAGGAGGTTTTCTCCTCTTTGGGTATTTATATTATCGAATAATATTGGTACAGGGTCCTCATTCAATTAAGGTTTCTTAAAAAAAAAGGGACAATTTTCAGCAAAGATTCTCACCAGATTATTTGCCACAGAAATAATTTAAAAAATTGATACAGATTTATTCAGCTTATTTTAATTTCTATAAGACAAATGAATAAAATTATACTTACATATAATGTAATAATCTCTGTTCTTCTGAAATTCTAGGCCCCAGAGGTTAGGGCTGAACTCTTGAAACTTGATAGTGAATTTTACGTCTTGGTCTGGTCTAGCACAGTTGAGAAGAGGCGTGTTTTCCTTCTTGATAGTGCAGCGGTCCGCCTGGTCTTTATCAACCATATAAACTTTATAATACTCATACTGGCCCACAGTTTTAGAGTCCACTTTGGGGCAAATAATATCCAATTTGTCTCCTATCTGTGGATATAGTACCAGTCCTTGTCCAGGTAGAAATCTAAAAAAGCATAAACAAAAAAGCCATTGAGTTGATAAAATTAACAATTTTAATGATAATTATAATTTAGCCAATGTCAATAATTCCAAAGTACAATTTTATAAATCCACATTTGTATTTGCCAAAAGTATCTTAGTTCAGATCAGCAGGGGATGAATGTATTTAGGAATTAGGCTCTAAGAAAGAAAGAAAGAAAAAGAAAGAAGGAAAGAAAGAAAGAGAAAAGGAAAGAAAGGGAAGGGAAGGGAAGGGAAGAGAAGAGAAGAGAAGAGAAGAGAAGAGAAGAGAAGAGAAGAGAAAAAAGGAAAGAAAGGAAAGGAAAGGAAAAGAAGAGAAGAGAAAAGAAAAAAGAAAAAAACCCACTCTCTCCTTACTCTATGCAACAGGATCAGTCAACCTCCTGACACTCCTTTCTACCACCCCCTCGCTTGTAATATTTCAGTACTCCTTTGTATAACTTCACAATAACTTTTCCTAGGTGGTGAGTCACACCTTCACACCTGTTTGTTATTTTTCTAGCCCTTGGCAGCTTTGGTTTATTGGACGCGCCATAGAAAGATGGCGTCAATTCCAAAGAAGAGTGGGTGCGCTAACACTTTGTTGTCCTGTTAGTTTCCATTTGCTGTTGATGTTAATTAACAGACAAGTTTCATCAAGAATGTTCAAATTACTTATTGTAATTAGTCAGTCACTGATCAGACAATGGGTTTTTTATTACACCGAACAAAAGAAATGTCTTACAAACCCATAAAAGATAACCAGAAATAACTCCCTGTCCTATTGATTCAGCTGCAAGATGAGAAGTCCTCCCAGGGCAAGGACAGCAACCACTGTCCCTGCTCCACAAACCTTTTTTTCTGCCTTGAGATGTATTTGCTCCAATTAATTCTTAGAAGCAAATCTTTAGAACTAAGATGACGGATACAATATCCCCTTAATGCTTTCAGCTAAAAGCTTCCCTCCTCTCCTTTCTCCTTCTTGCTTGCCATGCTGCTGAAAGATCTTTCCTAATGGGGAGTTTCTCTGAGTAACTGGAACGAGAGCTTTCTAATGAACATCCATCCACAAGTGCGAACACTAACAACACACTCAGAAACCCCATCTAGTCCCTCCCTCGGTAAGCAGCCAGGCCTGCAGGCTCATTAAAATATTAAAGCCCAAGAACAAAGCATCACATCTGAATCCTTCCAATCCAGTCCTTTATTTTACCGGGGAAGCCCACCAGCCATGACAATTAATGGGTCATCGTTCAGGGAGAAAGAGAGAGCAAGGGAGCTCCTGGATGATAGGGCACCTCCAATTTCAAGCCCAGACGGAGGAAACGGGTTATGATTTATGCTAATGAATGGTATTAATTTTCTGAAAAGTACAGGAGGTTGTTATGAACCATCACAGAACATAACAAATTATAGCATAGATTTATATTAAAAACCAATACTCTTTATGGCAGGAAAAATTCATGCCGCATGGTGGTTTGTCACTTTCTTTGGGAATGTGTCATTTATAATCCCAAAGAAAGTGTGGTTCATCCCCCCTTTTCCCCCAAGCTCCTTTAGCAAGGACATAAGACATTTCATTGACAGACAGAAAGAAGGGAAGGAAAGAAAAGTGAACAAGACATATTTAACAAAGTCTTTCTCAAAATGAACATTTTAAAAATAAGAATGACACATTCCAAACAACCAAGTGTGTACCCTTGAAGTCTATTTCTAAAACTTTCGACAAATGAGGACCACCACTAATGAAAGCCTCTCTGTGACTTTCTTGGCCATCCATTCAGTTTTCTGGGGAGATGCTTTGAAAAGTCAACTCCCACCCCCCACCTCCTGAGTGCCCATGTCATCTCCATAGGCCATTCTGTCTTTCTTGCAGGTAAAACACAGCTCTGGGTTCTGGGAGAGGGACTGAAGGGCTGAACCAGCATGTTCGTGGATGAAGTTCTGTTGTCTTTACTTCTGCCCCTCACAGTGATTCTACGTGTCCTTTGGGTTAAGAAGTGGGGGCAGGTTGCCCGGAGGAGGGTATGAAGGAAGCGTGGTGACCATTACACGGCTCCCCTTCCGAACACAACTTTTTCCTCGTGTCTTATTCCTTGACATTGTCAAGAAATCTTCACTGCATCCAAGAACCAGAGGCCGATCCCTGCCGGGGACCCTCCCCACACTGCACATTTTTGATTCTCAATCTGCTCCTTTGGGAGCCGGCACAGAGCGAGCAACACGCAGTAGACTGTGTTAGAAGTGTCCCCAAACCCCAGCCGAGGTCTGCGGGCCTGTGTCTGCGTCCTCTCAAAGCTCTAGCCTTCACACCCATCCACTTTTACCCTGGGGCCACTTCTCCAGGGGCTTGCCCAGGCTTTAGAGATCAGGATCCTTGGCAGCCAGAAGGACCCATTTTCATGTGCATCCAGTTTCCTTAAGGAAGTGCATCAGACCTCCCAGCCGCTTGCGATGACCACGCATCTCAGAACTCTCCCACATCGCACCCCGTGGGCCTGACGTCTGGCTCCCCAAGCTCTTTCTTCATTCAGAATGCTCCCTCGAACCTGTTCCCTTCATGAGAGGGTTTTTTTTTTCTTTTCTTTTTTTTTTTTTTTTTTTTTTTTTCCATGCTTAACCAAAGGATCACGGGAGATTTCCAGCCAGCCATGTAAGTAACTGCTTATGGCTGTGTCTTCACTCACCAAATCTGAGTTACAGCTTTGGCTGACGGGGCTGAGGTCCAGAACCTCCGACCCCTGGGCCAGTCTGGGTAGGAGGACCACCATGTTTTAGACTGTATTTTCAGAAGGCACAAATCATGTAAAGAGTGGTAGCTGTCAGTGATGGGGGAATGATGGATGGGGAGGGTAAGTCATCCGAAAGCTTGGCAAAATGAAAGGGGAGAGGAGAAATCTCGAATTTCAATAAGCATATTTGATATGCTCATAAGAAGTAAATCTCGATGAAACCCACTATTCCAAATGCTCCACAAAGTGTCTGTTTACTTTTCAGGATACATTTTGGCAAAAGAGCAAGGCAAGGGTTTGATCCTTTTCCCTGAAAAAATAATTGTTTCAAGAATTCCTTAAAAAAAGACCCAGCACTTGAGTGCTTTAAAGTTTACTTAAGCATATGTATACACAGATACACAAGATACATATATAGAAATGTAGATATGTATATCTACATATAACCTGGTTTACATATGATTTACATAGAACATAATGTATATAAAAATATGCAAACACATATTTAAACTGGTGAGCACACCAGTCATTCGATTGATGAAATTACAGTTTTCAGCGAAGAGTGTGGCTGAGTTGAGAATCTGAATCAAGAATTTCTTGCCTACATTACTACTGTGCACAGTCAAGCCCCCCCAAAACCCCTTTGCTCCCCAGGAACCCTGTTTCTAAGGCAACATGAGAGCAAAAAGAAAGTCAAGCAAGCGTAATGATGAAAGTGATCTGTTTTGTGCTCGACGCTCCGAGTGACAGAAGCGTAAGGTGCTCGTGGTCAGGAACGTGTAGTCCAGCTCCCTGAGGGCAGGCAGAGCCCATGTGTCCGGTTCAATGTTGAATGTCTAAGGGCTGACATATAGTAAATGCTCATAAATAATGCATTCATTGAAAAAATATGAAAGAACAAATGGAAGAGAAGATATACACAAACTTAAATCAAATTATACGCCATAGACTTTGCAGATTTAGGCATGGAAGAATTCTGCAGATAGGCCCAGCTAATGTTGGGAGGACAGGGGTGTGCTGAGGGCAGAGATGGAATTTCTAGGACGTCATTCCAGGCATGATGGTTATTTCTGAAGAGCAAGGAGCAGTGCAGACAGAGCCTCTGACCCATTCTCTCTGGAAGGATCTGGGAGTGTGACAGTCTTCTACAGTCCCTTCCCATCTAAAATGCAGTGTACTTAGCCCCTCCAGAACCACTAATAATGAATACACAGCTGCTTTTGAGAACTTATTCTCAGCTAAGCACCGACAGAGGCCCCTTCCACCACATTATCTTGATTTAACCACTGCACACGTACGTAACATGCAAAACAGATGAAGCCCTGCTGTGCCAAACAGGAGACACGACAGGAAAAGCCCCCTTTCTTTGCACACTTTTCAGTTCTCACTGCATCACATTAGAGCATAAATCTGGTTTTGTGAAATGCAATTTTTTTTTCTAAATTGAGCTTTGCATAGATAAGCCATGAAGTTAAGGAAAACGAAGAGAAAGTGAATGGCCATGCAGGCTTGCAATCATTCCATGGAGTCTAACTCCATGCCAAGCATGTGCCTGCTGTGGAGGCTGCTCCAGAAGTAGTCACTTGAGAACACGGCTCACAAAGGCAGCCATCTGGTAACCCAACCTTGCCCCAGGAGGCTGAGAACCCATAGGTGGGGAAGAAACCAGCCAACTATGTAAGATCTGTGTTTTAATTACAGTGCTATGGATGGTCTTCTGACAACTTAGGAGAATCCAAAATGTAAGTGAAAATGAAACGGGGTGAATTTCTTAATAACACCACTTTCGAGTGGAAAATGATTGTGTCCCATATGTTAAAAGCAAGTCAGTAACCATAGGCTTAAAACATAGACAAAACCCTGTTTCTGAAGCGAGGTCCTTTCTATTGGGATTTTATTACCCCAAGATTGCCGAGAGATCTTAGTAAGTCAGACTACACAGTGTAACTATGCCCTGAATATTTTGTAATCGTTAGTAATTCACTTAATCCTGTTTCGACCTAGGAAGTATTCAAAACAAGATGACACAAAACAACACAGAGGGAGAATTACGGTGGTGAACACTGGCTAATTTCAGATTTCTAACCTGGCTCTCCACGGTGGAGGTCAAATACAGATTTCTTTCTGTGTGATGAAATAACATTTGTCTTCTAACCAAAAGGAGCATCGAATTACAAGCCATGCCACACAGGTGCGGTTGTTTTTGTGAAACTCTACACAAACAAAGAGTAGTGACGGGCATCAGTTCATAAAGTCTGCCGGGGTGGAATCC